CTTTTTGTTCTTACAGAATTAGAGCAATTTATAATCCAGAATAGAAGAGTGCACAAGGAAACTTTGGCGCAAAAGAGAAAAACACCTTTATTCTCTTTCTTATTTTGTCTTGTTCTAACAGCCATTGTTGATATATACTAGAAGTAAGAGAAAAAAAGCCTACTTATATCTACATTAGTTAAAAGAGCGCACAATTTCTGGTATCTAATAATAAATATAGTCTTAAGTATTGTTAAAATTTATGAAACTCTATTATATATTTCTCTAAAAGTACAAAAGTAACAAAAATCTAGAATTAGAAGTAAAAAAAAAAACCTATTAATTACTGAAAAATGTAAAAAACTAAGGTGAAAAAATCACTATATATTAAAGTTTACAAATTATAAAATATAAGTTGTAAAAGTTAACAGAAAATGTGATTACACATAAATGTTATATAAAAATATTGAAATAAAAAAAAAAATTATAATTTATATTTTAAAAAAAATTTTTTTTCAAAAAATTAAAAAGATATGTATATCTACTGAATGGTAAAAAAAAAAAAAAATAGCTAAGAATAAACAAGTTTATAACTAGCCGCCTTTTAAAAAAACTAGAATCAACCTGTTGTCGTACAACCATTTTGGCTAGAAATAAACAGATTTATAAGGATGAAAGGTTGGGAGGGAAGATGAGTGCACTTATGTATTGTATAATAAAATCATAATTGAATAGCTTAATAATAATAATAAAAAAAAATAAAAAAAAATAAAATGAAATAAAACAGTACTCGTTATAATAATTATGGATTGAATAGCAAGATCATTCGTCCCGTATGTCGGTGCAGCATATGTATCCATCTTAACCGTTGTCACTCATGTTCTTTCTTGTTTTTTCTACCGCAATATACAATGACTTCGTTCCTTTCTTGCTAAAGAAATAATACAGATAAATAATAAACAGAAACAATACTCCGAGTAATGTACATTCCACTTTCCGCTTGCAACCAGACCATGACAAAAAACATAACGATTCCAGCGGTTAACATTATAAACTAAGAATGTATGTGGTACTTCATATTCCAAAAAACGGACATTTCCGGTTGAAACTCGCTCTTATCTGCTACTCTCCAGGACCGCTGTATACTTTCTATATTCTACGAACAATGGGACTTCCTGAAACTCCATAACAGGATGCTTTATACTCCGAAAATTAAATACAAAATGCCCCGCGCTTATAGGCACAAAAAACAAAACTCCCCAATCCAAACGTTGGTCTTCTTGACTTGCTCATAGAGGATTACAAGAGCTTATTAACTTTTTCCTTTCACGCGAGCTTTACCCTTTTCCGTCATCAATTTCAATTTTTCACTATTCCGCAACGAATATATGTACCGTAAGCACTATGAGGTGGTGCTAGACTATCCCAATACGTACAGTGAACAAAACATAGCATATCGACACCAAAGTGTATATTACGGTTCCTCATTATCATCATTTTCTATGTGCTCCTCCTTAAAGACTTAAGCAAAAGTTCCCAAACGGTAATACTGCATGGAAGTAATATTACTCCCTTATTTTTTTCTTCTTTCACTTGCAATTTCTAACGGATGAAATAGTCCTAATCTAACTGTTTCAAATTGCAGCCTAGCAGTGTATACTCCCTCATAAGTGAGCCACTTACTTGAGGATGAATTGGAATCTAGACTCAGCTGTCTTTAAAAAGAACATGTTGTGTCCTGCATGTGTCCACATAGACCAAAATAACCGAATTGTGAAATATAACCCCTCTTTCTCTCTGCTTCAGATTTGTCCAGACTACATTCTACTTGGACTGTGTGTGTAAATATAGTGTTTGTCCCAAACAATTTTAATCCATTTCTATGGTGCACAGGATGAAGGTTTCAGGAATCCCACTCTCATGTTTGACTCCTCAGAAGGTAGATAACATTGCTGATATAATCAGATTCCCCAAAGATGTATCTTTTCCTTGGGACAACTCTGTTCTCCACTTAGGCAATCATACAGACCATCTGGAACACAAAATAAACTCTTTAATTCTGCATCAACCATTAAAGAAAATTCAGCACAGCTGCACAAACATCAGGATCCCTTACTGTCCTCAGTGCCTGGCATAGAAAATATGTCCAGCACAGAGGCGCATACAGCTTCATTCTTTTAAAGGATCCATAACACTTTTCCAACATCTCCATCTAATGATGACCGGATGCCGTTACAATTCGTTAGCTCCCTACTTTCCCGTTTATGCCAATTGTACCATCAAAGAAGAAATTATTTACATGAAATATTAATAGATTAATCGGTTTCTCTCATCCATTAAGTCAACCAGTGCGACTGGTAGCCACTTCTACATTATGATGCCCTACTCAAATGGATGATCTGAAAATGGAGATACACCACAGTAGATGCGACCCACACACAGAATCACTTTCTCTTGTTACTTCAAATTTCATATGCGTCTCAACATGCTGTACAGCAAAAGATGCTTCATTGCAGAAACAGAGATTAACTGCCATATCACAATGTTGTTCTGGAGAACCTCAGGCAGGACGAATTTTTGACATCCCTAACACTATGACTTACAAGTCGAGACTACTAAACAGGGGTTCGAATACCAAATCCTAGTTAACATTTGGAACTAACAGCTCAGCACTCTGACTGTGTGCCTCTCATGAGGGTTTCCTTTACACATTTGGTATGCCTCCGAGCTACATCATTTAACACTGCTGGTATAACACCCTCTGTAAGATCCCGCCATTAGTGAAGATACAGAAGGAAGAAAATCTACACATGTGAGACAGCACACCCAACGGTGAATTCTTCTGACGACTTATTCTTCATCCTCGAAATGTGAACTTCAAAGCATAAAATAAATGAGACCCTCAGTATAAGCGTCAATTCCACGCTATTGCTATTTCGCTCCTTCTTTCTTTAAAGGGACTTGTTCCCTTCTGACATTTCTCATGTCAACGAGAAAGTTAGCGTTTCAGGAACATAAAGACCAACAAACATTTTCAAATGACAAATGTGGCAATTGGAAGATTATCCCTTGAATCAATACAAGGAGAGCTTAAAATCAACAAAAAGAGAAAGAATACATACGTGTGCATAGCTACCTATGCATACATATACAGGCATGGCCTCCTTGCCAGGGGGAGGCCCACCTTGCGAAGGTGAAAAAAAAAAAGAAGTGATACGTACACGGTGGGGGGTAGAATTATGAACAAATTAAAAAAAAAGGAAAAAAAAAAAAAAGGTACGCTGGGATGCTTCCAAGGTGGACAACGAACTGGAAAAGCTCACAGAACCGGCTAAGCGCGTATAAAGGCCATAATCAGGTTGGGCAACTGGACTCACTCTACTTTTCTGTTTTCACTTGTGCCTCGAGTTAGCGAAACCTCCGGTGGGGTTCGCATCCGACGTTTTATCCTACGACTCTTCCCGCTTCTTTTCTTCCTGCTTCTTCTCTTTCTGCTTCTTCTCCTTCTCTTCTTCCCACTTCATATCTTCCAGAATGCACGACAGAGCGATGTTCCGCTTGTCTGTCAGAAAACAGTCCAGGTGCGACCACTCAGGCTCCGTGATAATCTTCAGGTCGTTCTTCGTAAACTTCTTCTTCATATACTCAATGGACCTTTCTGCATCCACCGCGCAGTCCTTCATGCCATAGACGACGGTAATGGGGAAGCAGCACTTACCTGCATATTTGTCTATGGCTTCAGACACGGGTCGATTATCGACTGATGACAACCATTTTTTTAGATTCGCCTTCGACGTCGACCCACTGGGAGTATGCTTGTAGTAAATCTTCTTATAATTATGGTCTACGTTACCGGTGTAAAACTTAAGAAACTTGCCAGTGTATAAATCACCTAAAATTCCGATTAGGCTAACACTGATTTTCTCCGGAAACACCATCGATAGGAAGTTTTTAGTACCGAAAATTGCCTCCAGCCAATTCGAAGCCATAATATAAAAGTGTTTCATAGCTTTAGACAATTCGTCATAGTTTTTTGCAATAACCGGCAGGGATATGAGGTAGGTCCTTTTAATGCTGTCGTTTACATAGTCGTTCAGGCAGCAGCTGACTAAAAGTTGCACACTTCCTTGAGAGAATCCTACGTAGACAATTTTTTCCTTCTGTGTTTTTTTTCTGATGTACTTTATAATTGCGGGGATATCCTTCGTTCCCATGTCTTCGAATGTCCAGTCGACTATTTCGGGTTCCTTTACCTCAATCAAGTCATCATCGTCCTCATCGTGGTCGTCCTGCTGCTGCCCCTTTTTCCCACGGCTCATCGTCGTACTGTTCTCATTTCTATATGCGCCCTCGCTCCCTCCTGTTCCCTTAAGAATGTCCACAAGGGTAGCATTGTCAATGTTGCAGGATATATTCTTGCTGTCCTTATGACTATTACTGCTGCTACTACACTCGGTTCGTCCCTGTGGTTTGTCGTTACCATCCGATAGAGTCTTCTTCCGGAATCTGCTTCCTTCCGCAGGGGGGTCATCTACTATAGAGAGTATCGGACCCAGGGATCCACAAGCTGTAGCGATAGTCTTACTTTTATGCTCGTCATCACTTCTTTTGGCTCCTTGCCAGTTCTTTTTTACATGGCTCTCGGCAGCGTTATCATGGGTATTGCCTCCCTGGTGTAAGTTCAGGATTCTCCTTGCCTTCGGGAGGGTTTCTTCATCACGGCTGCCTTCATTTGCTGTGTAGTCCTTCCCGTTGTCACCAGTGCCATTGCTACTTCCGTGTGTGGCAATCTCTTCACTGACATCAAGACCAATGTCCTTAAGATCCTGCAAGCTATACCTTTCCCTTAGCTTTTTCAGGGCGTAGTTTTTTCCAACAAATTTTGTGAAGGCATTTCCCCTGTTGTTGCTTATCCAGACATCATAATCATTAGCGAAAAGCTGTAGAGCTAAAGAGTTGTACCCTCTGCAAATGTAACTAATGGATGACTCCAGAAGCCCATGATTTAAACAAAACACTTCTTTCTTTTTTCGCAGCTTCTCCTTCTCATTGGTACTTACAATTCGATATAAATTTAATCTGTACCCATCCACCGTGTACACATGGTGCTGTTCTGATGTAAGTTTTCCGTTCGTTAATTTTAATAGCACCTGCTGCATGGAGTCCAAGTTATTATTTTTTTTTTTCCTTTTCTCAATTTTGTACGGAGTACACTCCCGTGAGTGTTCTTCATCCTTGACATCATTTTTGTTGTTACTTCGGTTCGCTGCGCTGCACGTGTTACTCCTGGGGCTGCTATTACTGCTGTTTCCTCTTTGAGCCTTATCCCCGTCGACGTTATTGTTATTATTCACATTGGCATTTCGGTAAGCCAGGTGTCCTGGCATCGGATTTAGTTTTAATTCTCTCCATGAGGCCAACATAGGTCCTAATCCAACGGACATTTTTCTGAGGGGGGACCCCGACATGTTCCTAAAGAGGCAGTGCTGTTGCGGCTTCTCCCATTTGTTGCCAGGAGCACTCTTTCTGTTTGTTCTGATATAATACCTTGTTGAGCAAAAAAATATTACCAAAGCTAGAAGTATTAAAAAAATTCCTGAGCGGTTAATATTTTTTGTAATTTCTCTATTGAGAGTTATGGTAGGAAGAAGAAAAAAAGACTTCTCTCCTGAGTGGGGGCAGAAGACGGATAGCCATCGATTCACAGAAAAAGTTCCACAAAAAAGAACAACAAAAATTGGGAAGCAGCGAAGAGTGATTATAAGTAGGCTGATGTCCTTTTGTTTTTTCTTTTTTTTTTTTTTAAAATGCAAGTTCAGAATAAATATCTAATAATCTCCTTCTGATAGGCGTACTTGGTATATAAATGGGTTTCTATATGGTTGTTTTTCTATAAGTGCAATGCATTGCAAAGAACAGAGAGAATAAGAAGAAAAAAAAGTGCACCAATGTATGCATAATACATTCGCCTTCCTATTTATGTAAAACTAGGCGCATGAGGCTTGGCGACACGTCTGAAAAACTATGTATAGTCACATCAAAACTTGGACAACATTTCTATATGGCTTGCGCCACGAAAATAACGAAGCATGACAAAGGTAATCTTAAGCGGAGAGAAGGGAACAACATGCGGAAATTTCAGCAAATGTACAAAAGAAAAAATGAAGAAGTTTTTCGAGTTAAGTAAAAAAAAATACAGAAAGAAACAAAACAAACGCTTCACCATTTCAACGTTAAGAAAGCGTTATTCCGTGCTCTTCCTACGATGGGTGAGTATATAAAAAAAAAAATAAAAATATATACATTCCTGGGGGGTTGCGCGTCTGCATAAGAAATTATATGTATAATTTAAATGTACTACTTTCATGTGACGAGAAAAAATAATCGTGGCTGCAAGGTAGGTGAAAATAACGAATGATCGATAAACCTGGCTCAACGTTTTTAATTCGTCGTGATGCTTGTACGCGTTACGTGTATTGTGGAGAAAAACACTCGCAAAGTTCTAGAAAACAACTCGTAAAAGGCTAAACAGAAAAGAAAAAAACGCTCATGTACTTCTCGTACCGCGTCACCAGGCACGCCGCACATGAAGGCATAACTCTCCATCTGCCGCGCTCCATTTCAGGACCACCGATCTTCTACATGTCAACGCAGCCAGGTGCAAAAATCAGGCGAAATTAAGACGAATGTAGAAGAAAAAAAATCGCGCATATGTACAGTTTCTCCATCTGCTGAACGAACACAACAGCGCTTTTTCGTATAGCGCTTTATTTTCGCGGGAGCAATTTTTTCATTTCTCCAAACATGCTAAATTGAGGAATGCTTAAATGGCCGCTTGAGGCACGTCTTTGCAGCAGCTGGCACGTCCAGTGGCACACCAGCATGTGGTCTGGCAGGCACAGGCGATCAACGTATGGGGCGCGTTTTGTCTGGGGGTGTACATAGCCTGTGTACATAACGTTCGTACCTACCTAACCATGTGCATATGTTTGTGCGAGTCATTGTATTCCCCCGCCCACGGCACAGTTAAATGAGGAAACAGCAAAAAATTGAAAAAGGGAGTTCGAAAAATTAAACGGGGGCCAAAAATCGCGCAAATACAAAGGTAAAATGAGTACAGAGGTGAACCACTGCATCCATGTAAGTTCCTTAAAATAAGCCAAATGAGAAGGCGTAGCCACATAATATACGCATAGAAATGCAGGCAGATATAGACATACACTTAAACTATGGCGGCCGGTGCCCGATAGACGGAAAAACCATCTCTGCAAAGGCAACAGGGGAGGCGTGCGAAATTATCAAGAGGGGGGCATCACCGCATGCACACATGTACATAACATACACGGAAAAATAAATGAAAAAAAAAAGAAAAATTAAAAAAAATGCGATTTATTTTACGAATAAAGAATTTCATTAAAGGATCCGCTATTCGCGCGGATGGAGAGAGAACAAAATTAAAAAAAAATGAACAAAAAGGTTAATTAAATTGTACGTATATCTTCGTTAAAGTAATGTATTCGGTCGCAGCTCCGTTCAAGTTTATCCTGCCTCCCCTATATTTTCTTTTCCATCCTCTTCACCGTCATGTTCATTTTCGACAGATTAACGCATTAGATCAACCCTTGCGCTGCGCCTAAAGGAGGATGTGCGCACTGGTTGGTTGTTTGTCCGCGAAACTTCGTTGCCATCTTGAAGTGAGCATTGAGCAGCAATCCTCCATAAGGTGACTTGTTGATGGCCACACCTCACGTGTACGACATGTACGCAGGGAGGATGCACCAATCGCCATCGAGTGACGTGAACACATTAGAGCTTTGCTCACTACAAACAGTCGTGGACGACGCATCCTGCAAAGAAGAGCAGTAGCCACCCTTCTGCCAATTGGAAAGGAAATGCAGCACATACTCCGAGGCAAATCGCACAGCGTCATGCTCGGCTATCTGCTCATAATTAAAAACTTCGAACAAAATTGCCTCCTCCTTGTTTATACTGAGCACAATGTTGGTATCGTTAAAGTCAGCTGTACTAGCAAGGGGAGCGGCACAATCAGCTGCTGCACTAGGATGCTTTAAAAACGAGTTAACCGAGTTCTTCCCATTCATGGGACACACCGCCGATTTCTCCCTTGTGGCACATTTTGACTCCTCCTCTGTGTCATTCGCGTATTCGTTTTTCAAATGGAAGAGGGGCACGCGGCCGCCATCCGCTGTGCTCGCGCTGTCACCCCCGTCACTGCCTCGGTTAACGTCTCCATGGGTGTTGTCATCGCGTCCGTTGCTACCATTGCTGCCCGGGAGCAGTAGCATCTCCTTGGCGATATTATACCTGTGTAAATTTTCTTCACTCATTTGCTGCTCATTTTTCAGTTGCTTGTTATTGCCCTTCGGGGTGACCCGAGATGGGGACGCCAACTTCGTGTTCTTCTTTCCTACCTCTGTCTTCCCAGTTGCTTTAGTTTCACTTTTATTAGTACTCGCTTCTGCCGCTTTGGGAGCGTGTCCAGGGTTGGATTTATCCCGCTGGTTTTTAACAAGACGCGTTTTGTTCACTCCCTCCAAGGGTTCCTCCCCACTTTCAATCTTGACCTTTTGGTTGGACGTCCTCAAAATGATGTCGCCCTTGGAGCTCTCCTTCTCCTCATTGGTCATGTAATTAATTAGCGTGCTCACAACATTGTTGTATTCGAGGTTGTCCACTCCTGTCTTCTTCTTTTCATTTTCCTGGGGAAGCATATTTTTGTGCAAACCACTAAAATATTTGCCTGTTTGTTTTTCCTTGATCAGGACTATTTTGGTTCCTTTCTTAGTCACGTACATTTCTTCAAACACGTAATTGCATCTCTTTCCCTTGGTCATTTCGAGGTTAACTTTGTTGCTGCATGGGGCAACGCTCTGTCCTTGGAACTTGCTCAGTGGGCCCACGTACACCAGGCTCTTCACCTCGTCTTCATTGACCTGGAAGATTCCCCTCGTTTCGTTTCTGTAGGACAGCAGGCTTCGTCGGGGGTAAGCGAGTGAGCGGATGATCACATGAGTGGATAAAGGGATAAATGGATGACTCGATGTGCAGATACACGGTGAATGGTTCGCTGCGCCACTGCAGCGCTTTTCATTTCTCGGCGTCTCCACCGCGGCTTGGACTTACTACTTCTTCGTGTTGTCCTGCCTCACGTCCAGGAACTGCAATCGGGAGAAAAGAATGCACAAAAGGTTAGTGGATAAGGTTCCAAAGGATAGTGGAAAAGAGTCCAAAGGGTAGTGGAAAAGGCACCAGAAGATAGCTGAATATAAGCGAACCAGATCGGGTGCGTGCTCGTCCCAGCCGGGCTGCCCCCCTCCTTACCAAGTCCGTGTTGTAGGCGCAAATGAAGCGGTGATTTCTGCTTCCGCTGTACAAGTACCCGTCCCTCGTCTTCAGGATGCTCTTGCACATGTCGACGTAGCCGGACCACAGCTTCGGAAAAAACAAACAAAATAGGAAAAAATAAAAAAATAAAATAAAAAAATAAAATAAATAAAACAAAAATAAAGTAACAATGGTGATAACATTACTAAAGATTAGTGTGGCGATGTACAGGCACCACATCCAACCGCACACGTACAATGGTCCCCCCTCACCCTCATCGCCCATTTCGTAGACGACTTGCCGCGCTTACCGTTTTCAGAAGAAATGACTGAGGGTGCCCATCAAAGCGCAGATCGTCCCTATCCCGGATTTTGTTCTTAATAATTAACTTAGATAGCTTCTACAAAAGGATGTCAGAGAAAAGAAAGATGGGGAAGATTACCAACCTGTGGTGGTGAATCCACCTAATGCCCACACGAACAGGCCAAGGACGTGGCAGATGGTCAGACAAAGCAAGGTGATGTCCTACTTGATATAAATCAACTTCTACGTTGTTCATTTCGCTCTTCCTGCTGTCCCATATTTTGCTGAGCTCGTTGTTTTGATTCTTGAGGGATAAATTTTCATTCTGTCGCAGGGGGGAAAGGGTGAAACGGCCACGGGGTGAGAAGAGGGTTTCTTGTGAATCGAAGGGGTAGAGGCAGCAAAGGAGGCACCTTTTTTACAGAGGCGTGTGTCACCCCTTCCCATGAGTGGATGTTCTTACCTGGAATAGTACTAACTCGCTTTCTTTCTCTTTCAGCTTGGTATATAAAACCTGAGTAAAGTTCGCAAAAAGATGAACATGGAGCGGGGTACATCTTAATCATTATTCGCAAGTAGCTCCAAAGACACAGAGAAATAATTGTATGAGCATGAGTGGATGGGAAGGCTTTCTCAAAATTTCAACAGCAAACCTGAATAATAGAGTCCCTCTTGAGAAGCTCTCCAGTTTTATTCACTGTATCTTGCTAAAAATTGAAAAGGCAAATAAAAGAAAAAGAAAAAAAGAAGGGGAAAGATAGAATGGTGAATTAACCAGAAAAAAAGAAAAGAAAAAAAAAGTGTGTGTTGATTAACTAGTGGTATCCCTCCTAAAGACGCACGCTTCGATGGGTGCGTCCTACAACAGCATCTACCTGGAGTTCGCTACTCTTCTGCTTCTCTGTGGCCAGTTCGCTCTGATGGGTTGAAACAAATGGGCAGTTGCAGGTGGTCCATGAAATTGGCATGTGGATATTCCACTGAGTTAATGTACCGATGGACAGAAAAGGGGGGGGTGAAGCCGTCACGCCGATTCTCGGCGAGGATCTTCTGTCCCCCGCGTACCTTTAGCTCCTGCATCTTCTGGTCCAGGTTGGAAATCTTGTTCTGCGGGGAAGAAGTGGCACGGTGGGGGAAAAAAAAATTAGCCGCAACCTTCGCAGTAACCTTCGCAGTAACAGGAACGCTCTTGGTGACGCTAGCCGCACGCGGAGCCTCCATTTTGCACACTCTTAACCTTGCAGAGGGAGGCCTCCTTCTCCAGCGCGCGCACCCTCTGTTCGCTCTCCCGTAAGCAGGACTCCTTCGTCTGCAACGCGTTTGGGATCGTCAAAAAGGGACACATTAAAAAGGGACACGTTAAAAAAGGGGCACGTTAAAAAAGGGGCACGTTAAAAAGGGGATGGCTTGTACTTTCCCCAAATAACCAGTTCGCCCTGCAGTGCTTTATGCACGCGAGTGTACTAACTAACGTTCGTGCACAGCACCAGTGCGTCGCGCTCCTTACCGAATTTTCCGACGCAAGATCATCAAGCTCCTTCTGCAAGTCGGTAAATTTTATGATTATACTTTTCATGTTGTTTTCCTGTCTGTGTTTTTCCTTTCCCAGTTCGTCTCTATCGATCTGTATCAGTTCTTTCTCTTGAAGTAACTCCTCCCTGCATTTGTCCATGCGTTCTTTTTCTCGCCCCAGTTCTTTTCTTTCTTGATCAACTTTTTCCCTTTCTTGATCAACTTTTTCCCTTTCTCGCTCCACTTCTTCCTTTTCTCGACCTAGTTCCTCCTTATCCTTATGCACCTGCTGCATCTCTTCGTTAATTCTCTGTTGCTGCGCTTTGATAATCTCCACGTCGATTCCGAGCACTTTTTTCTCCTCCTGGTTTGGGGATGGAGTGGCCAATGCACAAATGAGCAGGTTGTGAAGAGGGACACAGCGCTGCTCCATCGCAACTTTGCGCACATGGTGCATATTCATCTCGATCTGTATTTTATTCTGCATCTCAGATTGCATCTGTGTCTGCATCTGACTCTGCAGCTGCTCCTACTCGCCTTACTTTTAAGTTCTCAATTTCCCCAGTGAGGGTGTCGATGGTGGAGGCTTTTTCCTGGGGGGAAGATCCAATGGGCGTAACAAAGTGGGGGTAGCCCAACTAGGAAAGCACACTGACGTGACAACGTCCCCAATGGACTGCCTCAACTTACCTCATTTAATCGCTCCAAATCTCTGCATCTTTCCTTCGTGAACTCTAGCTCCTCCTACAATGCATTCGAGGGAAGCATCAAAGAAAGAAAATAAAGCAAAACAAAATAAAACAAAACAGAAGAATCTCATGAACAACGTAACTGGACGCGCGACCGACGGTCTAAGAGTGGTACATGGACGCTCCACTCAACGAAGGCATTACATTCATACTGTCCATTTGAGAGGACAGATTGGACAACTCTTCTTGGATTTCTTTCAGTTCCTCCTAAGAAGTAAAAAAGAAAAAAAAAAAAAAGTAGTCCACATGGTAGCTACACTAGTTTGCACAAATGGAGACGAAAATGGAGAAGAATGACAAAAGAGGGACCACCAGTTGACAACAAGTGAACGCGAATGGCATTACCTTATGAGACTCCTTTAGCGAAGCGCAGTTTTCCTCCATCTCGTAGATGGCTTTCTGGTAGCCCTGAAGTTCTGCCTCTAATTTGCATTTATCTTCCAGCAATTCTTGGAAGCTTTCCTGTACAGGTTTTGTTTCATGGTATGTGTGCCAGCAGTGATGTTAAATGGGGACACGTAAAGAAGTGGCATTCAGTTGAGCTCTTCCTTGGAGCTTCTTTATTACCTGCAAATCGCAGTACTGATTTTCCTTTTCCGTTATCATGGTCTCCAATTTGAGGACTTGCTCTTCGTAATTCTTAAAGGAGGAGGTGTGCACAAGGGGAAAATGTGTGTAGCAACGTCTGCAGGCAATGTACGAGAGCATATACCAATGCCAATGATTGAGCGACGTGGTGCCTCCCTTCCGCGACACGTTACTCTTTTTCTCATCCCATCTCGAGATTACATTTGTCGCCTCATCCAGGTTTGTCTTGCTCACAATGTAGGAGCCCTGTGTAGGACAAGTCGGCGCAGAGAAAAGAAATAAATAACCAACAAGCGAATAAACAGCAAGTGAATAAGCAACAAGTAAATAAGCAACAAGTAAATAAGCAACAAGCGAATATGCAACAGGCAAATATGCAAATGAGCAAGGGCACCCTCCCTTTTTTTGCCCCTGCTTCTATACATTAACTCATATGTGCGCACATGCGCCGCCCTCTTGCTCGCGTACGTAAACCTCCCGGTAGCTATTGTTCAGCTCCTCGTATTCCTCATTTCGCTTCCTTAGCTCTTTCTCCATTTTCTTAATTTCGAGCTAGTAAAAAAAAAAAAAGAAAAAAAAAGAACGAAGAAAACAAAATGAAGCATTATAACATTCGCTTGTGCTTTCATCTTTGCATTTCACTCTCCGCACAGAGGGCACACGCCACTTCTTTGTGTTCTGCAATGCGTACTAGTAACTCTTTGTTGATGAAGTTCTTGCTCTTCGTATCATTTGTGCTCTTAGCCATTTTACTGGCGACCTGCCAAACGGAAGGAAAAAAAAAAAAAAAAAGTAAAATAAAGTAAAATAGAATAAAATAAAAAGAAGCAAAATAAAGCAAAGCATTGTCATGATCAGTGTGGCACCACAATTGCGGAGCTGAACAGCACACAGCAAATCCACACATTCCCATAAGCCACTCTAAGAGGTGTGTAAAAATGGAGACATAAATTTAGAAAGAAAAGGAAATGATGCGCTCTTGTTACCTTGCGCTGATTTATGTCTAGGTTTAAGCTGATTTTTTCTTTTTTTCCCCACCTCTTGTACGATAAAGCGAATGGTACAAATACAACAATGCGTTCTTTTT